ATCCCTTTCTCTGTCTGTCAGGCCGCACTGCACTTGTACTGCGTCGACGCGTCTCCTATGCTGCCGACGGGCGTGGGCGCCTCGCCCTTGCAACGTGGTTTCCAAAGGAAATCCTCGGTCAGGTCCATTTGGTAACTCACCGAGTCGTTCATCGGATCTGAGCTTTGGGCAGCGGGTTTTCGTGGACTCGCGGGTGTCGTGTGTTCTTGTGCGATGTTGTTTGAGGGACGGTGGCACAGGCCTGCGCGAGAACACAGATTCGCTTGGAAAAGTCCGTCGACCACATGCATTGTCTCGGGCCGTCCGTCTTGCGTCGGCCAGTTGCGATGGCCGGAGGCTGGACCGATGTCTGTCTTGCTTACACGATCGGCTCTTGCATCCTTGTTTCTTTCCGCGAGAATAGCACTAGGCTCGAAACCATTGCCTTCCTGGTTCTTCCGGCTCTCCCGCGATGTGGGCCAATGGCAGCGGCGGCAACAAGGGTCGTGGGAAGGGTTACGGCAAGGGCAAGCCGTCCAAGGGCTGGGCTACTTCGAGCTGGGACAACACGACCGCTTGGGATGGCGCTGGCAAGAGCCAAAGGCAGCGATTGGAACTCTGCCGCCGACTGGGGCCAGGCTTGGGGCGAGGAAAGGTCAGCAGAAGGGCAAGGGACAGCCCCGTGACTATATGACTCGGTTGGAAGGTCGGTATGCCTTCGCGAAGTCTGTGCTGAGGCTGTATGCGGATGAAAATGGCAGCGCCCTGTTCGCCGGCACCGCCGGAGCATCTGCCGCCAATGTGCTCGGCAAGGATAACCTCCGCCAGATCTTGGATTCGCGCAATTCTGAGCTGGTCCGATGCCCCGCCGTGGGTATGTCCACGATTGCAACCTTAAGGCCCTAAACTCTAAACCCCTAAACCTTAAAGCCCTAAACCCTAAACCCCTAAACCTTAAAGCCCTAAACCCTAAGCCCCTAAACCCTAAAGCCCGAAACCCTAAACCGCTAAACCTTAAAGCCCTAAACCCTAAACCCGAAAGCCCTAAACCCTAAACCCCTAAACCTTAAAGCCCTAAACCCTAAACCCCTAAACCCTAAAGCCCGAAACCCCTGAACCCCTAAGCCCCTAAAGCTCTAAACCTTTGGTACTTCCAAATCCTGCCATCGGGGTCTCCCGACACCTGCTCCCGAGCTGCACCCAACCCACTCCCAACCTCCTCTCAAGCTAAGTTGCAGTCTTTAGGATTCAAGATTTAAGGTCTAGGGTTCAGGGTTTAGGATTCGTGGATTCAGGATTTATTGTTGAGTGTGTAGGTTGCAAACGCCACCGCTGAACTAAGTTCGATTAGGGAAGATTATATGCAAGTCTCAGAGGCGTCCCCTAATTCACGGGGACTTCCCCTTTATAGTACCTCATAAACGCCTTCAAATGGTGTTAGGCCCTATACAGGAACCTGGCAACAAAAGCCTGACCACTCAAGTCCAGTAAAGAACACCCTTGTAAGATGATTACACAAGGCAGTCTAAACCCCTTAGAACACCCTATGAGACGTTATGAAGCCTCTGTTAAGCCTTCAGTTAGCAGTTAGCCTGTGTAAAAACCCCGAAGCCCACCCAAGCCCTCAGGGCCTTAAGCCTAAACCTAAACCCTGAAGCCTAAACCCAGAGCTCTGAAACCAAACCTGAACCCCACCTTAAAAGAACACAACCCAGAGCCCTAAACCCCGAGCCCAAAACCCTAAAACCCAGAGCACTACTGTCCGAAGCGACGTAGTCGCATCGGCTATATGCAGGGGAGGAAGGTCCGGTTGAAAACAAGCTTAACAACCTCTCAAGCCATCACCAAACCCTATAACCACGTGCAAAGATGAAAATACACCCGTATTAAAACCTCTTCAGACACCCATAAACAGCTACAGCTGACAATTTAAGAAGCCTGAAGCCCAAACCTTGAACACTGGGCAGAAGCCCTGGCCCTAAACCCCAAGCCGCACACCTCAAACCCTAGATCCTAAGCCCTAAACCCCCTGAACCCTAAACCCTAAAGTGTAAGTGACTGCTCTCGAATTTGCCTTGGTGGGTACCCACCTCTCCTGGCACATGTGGCCTGATCCTTGAAGACTGGATCCGCGAAGGTAAACAGGAGCTCAAAAACAACCCTAAAGACTGAAACCGTCCCAACCCTAAGCCCTAACTCGTAGTCCTAGCTCGGAAGCTGCGACAGCTAAAACGGAGCGGCGCCAAAGCGTGCACACTGGCGTGCACGGCCCCAATCAAGGAACCTCAAAAGGCCCAGAAGCCTTCGGCCCGAACTAAACCCTAAACCTCCAAACCTCAAGAATGAAATAGTGTATATTGCTTATATAGTCTTTGGCGTAGTACTGTTATGAATCGCCACTTTCTCTTCGTCTCAGAGTCGCTGGAGTAATAAGTAGGTCATGTGGGTCTTTGTACGCCTTGAACCCCCTGAATCGTCAATTTCAGCCGCCACCCACAGCCGCCAGCCCGTTAGCGCCCCAACGCTCCAGCCCCAGCAGCCAGCCCCAGCCACGGAGTCGGTCAAAACTTTTCGCTCACAACTTCGGCACCCAAACCCTGTAAACACTAACTCTAAACACTCTCAACCCCTAAACCCTAAGCCCTAAACCCTAAACCCTGAATCCTAAACCCTTGTTGAAGGAAAAGAGGTTCAAAAAAAAACCTAAACCCTGAATCAGTGACTGAGCCCTAAAACCCAGGCCTTTGGCCTTCGATGACGCGCGTCTTCGGAGCGCCCCCCCGGATCTGACTCCAGACTGCTCCGCGGCGGGGTTTACATGGGGGGTTTTCCGAAGAAAGGGTTTAGGGTTTAGAGTATCCCTCTTGTTAGGATACCTCTGGTCGCTAAATTAATTCCCCCACAGAGCCAAGGTTTAGGGTTCAGGGTTTAGGGTATTGAGCCACTTAAAACATAGATGGGGTTTCCGAAATGGGACCCTTATATAGTACCCTAAAAAGTAGGATCCTTATAATTAAGGATCTCCAAATCAGGAACCATGAAGTTCTTTTTTTTGTTTTTTAGGCTGTACTGTTTGGGGTTTTAGGGTTTTAGGGTTTTCAGGGTGTTGATTGTTTGTTTTCGTTCTGAGAGCATGTTTTGAAAGGGTCTTTACAGGCTTTCGATTTATGTGAGGGTTGTGTTTGGTTTAAAAGGGGTTTTGCAAGCTGTTGGGGTTTGGCACCTCGGTGAGGGCTTGATAGGCATTTTTGTTCAGGGAGTTAGTTCAGGTTAGAATTGTTGGTGTTCCAGAACAGTGTAGACTAGACCTCACTAAGGGTTCTGAGGTGGATTGAAATATGGGAGTATGAGGTGAGCTGCATGAAGAGGTGGCTTGCAGTAATCAGGGGTCCTGCATCATGGGTGTCGTGAGATACAACTGTGAGCTCTAACTCTGGATCTGCTTGTAGCTCGTCCGACTCTGCACATGACTGGGTTTGCATGAGTGTGTCGGGGTCGGGGGGGAGGTTCGGGACGTGCGCATCAGCCGCCCGAGCCTCGAAACAAAGTTGTCCGACTAGACCGGGGACCCAAAAAAGCATATAAGCATAAACATTTTTATTCGCAGACCCCTACCTTACTGGGCTTCATCATAAGGGGGTTTAGAGGGGGATATCCCTAACCTTAGTTTTGCTTATGTGATTTGTTGGGGCCCTATAAACACCTAGAGCGCAAAGCCGGTTCGGCCTGAACCCTCAACGCCAAACCCCCAAACTCCGGAATTCCCGAAGCACACAGCCCTAAACCCTCAACCCTACACCCCAAACCCCTAAACCCAAACCCTAAACCCTAAGCCCCAAACCCAGGGTACATCTTGGAGTCTTGCAGCCCATGGTCTTCAATGCGACGACTTGCCGGAGTCGTTACACGTCGCCCTGTTGTAAAAGAAGTGCTTTGCTCGCGTGGCGCCATAAACTATAGTGGCCAATAATTTGAGTAGGGTTTTGGGGCCCCTGATACTATACTTAAGACAAGGAACCCCTAGAATAGTATGGGTAATCTACTTAAGACAGTGAACCCCTAGAATAGTATAGGTAATCGGTACTATACTTTAAACAAGGAGCCCCTAGGATAGTATAGGTAATCATTTAGGCACCTATAGTGGCCCCAACCAGAAACTCTCAACCCAAAAGCTCCCGGAGCAGTGCTGCGATGTGGAGCTGTGCAGGGTTGTGGGTGTTGATAGCTATGCAGCTGTCATGCTTTCGGGAATCACTAGGTCCTTGAGAAACCAGTCATTTTTTTCGTTTCTGTTCTTTCTCTCTCTCTCTTTCTCTCTTTCTCCCTCTCTCTTTCCGTCTCTCTCTTTGCCCCTCTCTCTCTGTGTCTGTCTCTGTCTCTGTCTCTGTCTCTGTCTCTGTCTCTGTCTCTGTCTCTGTCTCTGTCTCTGTCTCTGTCTCTGTCTCTCTCTCTCTCTCTCCCTCTCGCCTCTCTCCTTCTCGATTTGCTTGCCTTGCCCGCTTTGTGACCTGTCTAGTCTCGCCCTTGCTCTTGTGAGCCTCCACAGGGGTAGGCCCTAATATGCCCCAACACGCTACCCATTCTAATCTTTCGAGGAATTCGTCAATGGGTAGCTCTCTAAATCTGGGTTCTGTCAGGGTCATTCTCAGAATGGTGCCGTACTATTTTGGGGGCCTAAGAAGACTTGGAGGATCATGGGTAGTCATAAGAGTCAGAAGTGGGGTTTATAAGTAGGGCGGCTGTACATGAACCTCCAAGTAGAGCCCTTATAGAACCCTTATAGAGCCCACAAAGGAACCTATGACCCTGCGAGTAGAGCCCTTGTAGAACCGCTTCTGCAGCCCATAAAGGAACCTTCTCAACCTTACCTATAACTACCAATGAAACCTAAACCCTTAACGCGAAACCCTTATAGGACTTATAAATCCTTTATAGGAACGGTTTTAGGAACCCTAATCATTAAACCCTAAAGAACCTTGAAAGGGATCCTAAGCTCCCCATGAACCGCCAAACATGGAGAGGCGTTGGGCTGCGTAGTGGTCGGCCCCTTGGAGACTTCCGGGGTAAGCGTCAGCAGCTGCTGTCGCGTGTGCTGCTTCGTAGTCTTATGAGGGTATCTGTAAGACTTCCTTTGAAGGAAGGGCTAAATATAATGTAAGGGTACCTTAGTATGTAGTAGAGTAGGTAACCTTTAACTTTCCATCGGGTGTTAAAGCCCTTGCAAAACCCCAAAGACTAACCTTTATTTCCGGGCTGTTTGACTTGGTTCTTGCGATTTAGCTTCCCGTAAGTCTTTCGTAAGTCTTTAGGGTTTAAGGCTCAGTGTTTCGCGTTTAGGGAAGTTTGGTCTTTATCATAGTATTCAATCACGGCGTCGACGTATCATGGTAGACTTTTTCTGACAAGTTGGCCTCTCAAAACGAGCCCGATGGAGTTTGATGGTTCTGCAATTTAGGGTTTTCGGGTTTCGGGTTTCGGGGTTTCGGGGTTTCGGAGTTTCGGGGTTTAGGGGTTTAGGGGTTTAGGGGTTTAGGGGTTTAGGGGTTTCGGGGTTTCGGGGTTTAGCTTCACGGTTTCATGTTTGGGGTCGCGGGCTCGGCAGTTTGATTGAAAGCCTAGGACTTGAGGGCCTCACCTGGGCCCTAGGAACCTACATTTTTTGGGATGCCGATTCCTCATTAGGATATCCTTATATGAGTCCTTAAACGGTAGGTTGTGTGGGGTTAAGGTAAAGGTTTGAGGTTCACGGGTTCAGGGCTAAGGGTTTACAGCTCAAAACTACTCCCCAAATTATGCTGAGGTAGATCCCTGATTAGTCAGCCCCCCTCCCTCAATAAAGGCGGGAATTGGGATCTTATCATGAGCGTCTTTGGAGAAAAGGGTTATTAATCAGGGGTTGGATGGGTAGTTCTCCAAGTTAGGGCCCCTTTTACCGTATTGTGTTGGGGACCTAAAAATGGATCCTAACCCAGAGAACTACCCATGTATGCTCGATTACTGAAGCCCAACACTGAATCGCAAACCCAGAAACTTCAGTATGAAACCCTCGCAAAGTCTTGCGTGAGCCCAATACATATAAACCGTATATGCAAACACACGCTTGTAAAATGTAGGGTTTAGGGCTGAGGCTTTGGGGTTCTCAACCTTGCAAAGCCTTTCAACACCTGCACCACCCTTGAGGTTGAGGCAACAGGATAATCTTGCAAAGCCCTTTGAATGCCCCTTGAACGCCCTTCAACACGAGCAGTTACTAAGCCGTGAGACGTGAGAAGGCCTTTCGAAGGCCCTTTACCCAAAAGACCCTAAACCCTAAACCATCCTAAACCTTAAACCTTACCAAAACACCCTAAACCCTAAACCCTTCCAAAAACTCCCGAGACATTAAACCCTACAACAAAAACCCTAAACCTGAAACCTTACCAAAACTAGGACCCGGAGTAGGGCCTTATTCCCTTTTTTAGGGTTTAGGTTCCCTTATGACACCCTTTAAACCAAAAAGGGCACCCTTTTTATTCCTAGGTTACTCTTAGGTCTAGAAAACAACCCTACGCCGTTTTTCGAGGCTCGCCTGGTCTTTGACGACCCGAATGCTGAAGCCAAAGAGGTGCGCGTGGTGAGCCTGAGGTTTAGGGTTTGGGTTTAGGGTTTGGGTTCAGAATTCGAGGGTTTACTGTCTGGGGTTTAGAAATTTCATTTGCAGTTGTGTTTTTCATGTTCGGCTTCTCTGCGGGTCGAGAGCTTCATTGGGGGTGTTATGCGGGTTGTAGAGGTCTTGAACGCAGTTCACAAGGTCACTCCTGCAGGCTGGAGCTGTAGGAGTTTAGGATGCTTAGGGTCCGGGCGTAGTGTTGATAAAGAGCTGGTAATCATGCTGCTTGTGACGCATGTAGCTCTTTGCATACCAAGCCCTGAATCTTCACTGCTGGATGTCACCGACCAGTACTGTTTGTGCCTGCTTCAGCGCCCATAAAGGGGAAACCCTAACCCTTAAAGGAGCCCTAAGGGAACCCTAAACTCTAACCCTCAACGGAGCCCTAAGGGAACCCTTTAAGAACCGTATGACTTGTCGCAAAACCGGAATTCGTGGTTGGGCCCCTGAGCTAGTCATGGTTGAGCATGAGATATCATTGTTCGTTGGAATTCGCCCAGCGTTTGTTGGTAGAGAGGTGGGATGAGGTAGGTAGGTAGGTAGGCAAATGGTAGGTATGGATGGATGGATGGATGGAGGGAGGGAGGGATGGATGGATGGATGGAGAGATGAATAGGTTGACAGATGGATAGACGGATGGATGCATGCACGGATGCACGGATGCACGGCTGTTGCGTGCATATATGCGTGCGTACATGCTAACCAGTTCATCACTGTCATCGTTATTCTTCCAGGCTATTGCTCTTCCTATGGCAGTCATGGTACAAACACGCCTGCGGCTGTCATCATCATCAGTTCTGTTCTTGGTTCCCCCGGTTCAATCATCCCACGACTGATTCATACATCGTCTTCTGCTGCATGACAACCCTGTGTTTGTTCTCAAGAGCTATTCTTTGTCTGCTTCCTATACCTCAAACGCTCAAGCCAGAGCCCTAAACCCGAAACCCTAAGTCCTACTATGATCCCTAACGAGCCTCAAGAAAGCCTACTCAGATCTTCAACCCTAAACCCTAAACCCCTAAACTCTAAACCTCAAACCCCTAAACCCTAAACCCCTAAACCCTAAACCTTAAACCCCTAAACTCTAAACCCTAAACTCCTAAACCCTAAGCCCTTAAACCGCGGACCGGGGAGGCCGTGCAGATTCCGCAAAGACAGCGGATACAGATGCTGGCTCAAGCCATGGGTTGGTCCCCCCAGAGAGAGGTGGCAGAGGTCGGGTTCTAGGGTTGTTGGGGATTTAGGGGTTGGGGGTTTAGGGGTTTAGGGGCTGGGGGTTAGGGTTTTGGGGTTTAGAGTTTGAGGGTTTAGGGGTTTAGGGTTTGGGGGTTTAGGGGTCCAGGGGTTTCGGGTTTACGGTTGTTTTTGAGCACTCCTGCTACAGAGGCAGGAATAATTACAAACATGATTCCTTAGGACTCCTGATTATAACTAGCTATTTTATATTCTACTCCAAAACCCTATTCCATGTACAAGGCCCCTGCAGTAAGGGTGTTAGGGCTGTGAGGGCTTGAATTCCTCTCAGAACTTATCCCTAGAAGTTCCTGATTTATGGCCAGAATACAGCCCGGTGACGGTCGTGGATGTAGTGAGGATTGTCAAACATCTGCTTCAACATGCTATGACGTTTGCGCCTTACATGTTTTGAGACGCTTTCGGCGTGAACCCTATACCCTAAACCACTGCACCGAACCCCCAAGATCACCCGCCAAGGCCCCAGCTACGAGGAGACGAAGAAGACCGAGCGCACGGACATGCGCAAGCTTCAGCGGTGGGCAGCCCAATCTTGGGTTTCCTCCTGTTGATGCTTTAAATCCTGCGTTACTTTAACGATGACCCTAGACTATGGGAGTTATGGTATTTTCCATATTATGGGTGTTGCAGGATTTATATCATCAACCGTAGAGACTCTAAAATGTTTTCATTACAAGATGGATAGCCGTTCAACTGCAATAGGTTTATGCACCCTTGAGCCTTCATGTGGGCTTACTTCTGGTTGATACAGGTGCCTAAATACTTAACAATACTAGTTTGGGGGTTCCTCATTATATTTGCAGTATAGTAAACCCCCCAAACCTTCTAATTACTAAGGCCCCTATAAACCCTGGACCCTTTGACATGGCTAGGTTCTTGTTTCACGTCTGTGCCCAAGTGGGCACGCGTTGCTGCAAAAGGGACGCCACTACGCTTAAGAATTTCTAAACGCTGGGCCCTACACTCTGAATCCTAAACCCTAGGCCCTAGAACGCTAAACCCTAGAACCCTAAACCCTAAACCCAGAGCCCTAAAACCGAAACCCTAAAACCCAAACCCTAAACCCTAAACCTCAAAACCCCTCAAGCCCTGAACCCTAAAAACCACCGTGGGTTTCGGACTGAAGGGTTTGGGGTCCGAGGCCGGCAAGATCTTTGGCTGTGGAGTTCGAGCTGAAAGATTCCAGTCTTACGTTACTTGGAGGTTCATGGGTAGTTATAAGTGGGGGTTATAAGTCCCCTAACATGAGTTATATCTATAGTTATCCTACTTAAAACCTTACTCTTATTTTATCGTAGGAGGCCAAAAGGGGTTTTAGCCTATTCGTAGGGATTAGGGTTCCCATAATAGGGTTCATACTCCCCTTTTGGCCGCCCATCATTTTAGGCTAGGTGATGAACCATGAGTGCCGGTACACCCTTGTAGTTTTCTCGTTTTGCATGAAGTGTCCTTGCTGTACGCAGGTTTGTCAGGTCTCATAGAGTATCCCCTTACGGTCCCAGAGGTTCGACTACAACAATGTACCCGCAATGGTGCGGATCTCAATGCAGCCTACAGGGGTACGTGCAAGATGTCTTGGAACCCCGAAAACAACCCTATCTCCAAATAGCCACTAAAGGAGTGCTCTTCTCTGGAACCCAAGACCCTAAACCTTAAAAGCACCCAAAAGCCTATCCTAGATGCTAAACACTAAACACCAAAGCCCTCAAAACCCCAAGCTCTGCACGCTAAACTGTGAGCCTCTCCAAGGGTTCGGAAAAGAACGGTCGACGAAGATGAAGCTCGGGCAGCAAGCAGTCTGCTCTGCCCTAAAGCCTCAAGGCTCTTTACCATAAAGCCCCAAACACCAAACCCTAAACCCCCAACGCTAAACCCCCCTAAACCCTAAAGCCCAAGCCCCAAACCCTAAACCCTAAACCCGAATCCTGAATCCTGACCATTTCCCCCCCCCCAAGGCGACCTGGAAGGAGTCCGTACGGTTTGGTTTACATGAGGATTACTCTAGTGAACCCACAAAGCTGGAGCATGGATTTAGTGGTAGGATTCCCTCTACTTTACTTCAGGGGCATGAGGATAATAACGTTCCACCTTTCTGGATTCTACTACATGTGGGTTCTAGGGTTTAGGGGTTTAGGGTTTGGGGGTTTCAGGGTTTCGGGTTTAGGGTTAGGGGTTTTAGGGTTGGGTTTTGAGCTGTTTACGGCGTTTGAGGGCTGTCTACTGTCTTTGGGCTCCGGGGGAGCTGTTTGGGGCTCTAGCTATTTATAATGAATCCCAGAAAGTTGGAACATGGATTTAGGATGATTAGTTGGGCAGAGGTTCAGTCCGACCAGGACACCGTCGATCCCCCGCCGAAGGACGAGGACGACCAGGACGAAGAGCCTCAGGAAAGCTACCCGGTGGACCAGGAGGAGGACGGCCCGCCGGCGGAGGAGGAATACGTGGAAGTTGAGGTGGACGACGAAGGACAGGCCGACGACGAGACCCAGGACCCCGACACCCCCCGGGCGGCCGACTCGATGGCACTGCCGGGCATGGGCGACGACGGCTTCGTCACGGTGGCCAGAACACGCCGGGGCAAACCGCTGGACCAGGAGGACCGGGATTCCCTATACTTTACCTTAGGGGCAGGAGGATAGTGATGTTCCAACTGTCTGGCTGCTACTGTAGTTTAGTTGTCGAGTAGGTAACCTTTAGCTTTTTGGGGTTTTACGTATAGTCATAGCCCCTATATAATCTCCATTTGTTAACTCTTAGTTCCCCACGAGGCTCGACAAGTTGATTCTCACATTCATCGGGTTTCATGGCTCTTAAGGTCTTGGGCTTAGGCACCCTTATTCCCTCTAACCTTAAACCCTAAACTTCGTAAACCTAAACCCCAAACCCTAAATTCTAAGCCCTAAGCCATTATTGCCTGTTGAGGAAAGCGATTGGCAGCAGATGCCCGGCGACAGCGAGGAGGCTGAAGAGATCCGCAGGGGTTCCTTTGAGGGTTCTTTTGGGGGTCAGCCCCGGGCTTCCTTAAGGTTCCTGAAGAGGTTTCTAGAAGGTTTCCTATAAGGGCTCCTTTGAGGGTTCTACAGGGGACTACAAGGGTTTCGTGTCGAGGGCTGAGGGTGATGCGGAGCAGTGATGTCCTTTTTGGATGTAGACATATCGGTACCTTTTTGAAGGGATGCCGATCCAGGGAGTCCGTGTCCTTCTTAGGGACAGTGCAACGCGATTGCCCTTCGGATTGCGGGCTCCAGATGCCTCTGTGAGGGCAGAGGCAGCTTGCATAGGCTTGCAGCACATCCGACTCGGCACTTTTCAAGCTTTTTGAAGAATTTCAAGCTCTGACGTTTCTCAAGCTTTGATGCAGCTTTGCGCTTCTTTCCGGTTCTTAGTTACCTAATACTATTGTTTGGGTGGCTCCTTATGATTAGTATTATAGTATAATGGGCCCCAGAACCGTATTTTAATTTGTTATTAAGGCCCCGATATTACATCCTAGGCCATAAGTTTTGCAGCCTTCGACCCTAAAAGCCCTGGCTGCTAGGATCCTATTTTCAAGAACACCGCTGTGGAATCCGCATGGCTTCGGAGGGTTGGGCAAGGCACCAGAACTCGTAAGTTTAGAGCTTTATGGTTTTAGGGACTCGGTTTTTACGGCTGGGAGTTCGCAAGTTTACGGTTCAGGGTGTGAGCTTGAGGATGTAGGGTTTAGAGTTTAGGATTTCGGATTCAAGGAATCCATACGGTCAGAGTATTCGGGTGTAGCAGCACCCAGCATAGAGAGGCGGAGAAGAGACTCCAGGGGTCAGAATGCTTACAAGTAGTTTTGTAACCCGATTAACGTTTCAGGGTTCAGGGTTCAGCCTGTTTAGTACCTGCGTTACATCAGAATGAGCCCAAGCAATACTATCCCGTAGCGGTCCTTATTGTAACAACTATATAATATACACCAAAACCCACCTAAGGCCACTATATTGCCTCCAAAGCCTTGAACGCTAGTCGCTGACCCTGCATCGAGGCCATCCAGCGTGCCAGCGAGCTCGCCAAAGAGATAGCAGAAGAGGCTTGAGCTTTAGGGGGACTCACCTTTTTAGCAGGTGCGTCTTCATTTTCGTTGCGGGGTTACGCTAAATCCGCTTGGGTTTATTATTCTTAGCCTTAAAGCTGCAATGACCATAAGAAGCTTGAGCTCTAAAGCCTGAGTTAATCCCATCTCAGGACTCACTCCCCACCTGTGCTGATCCAGAACAGCAGTCCACTCACAAGTTTGTGTCTGATAGTACATGGGTCTGAATGTTTAGTGATAGTATCCCATTACAGTTCCTGTCTAGTTATACTGCAATGTACTTCAGGGCCCCATTCTAATTACTAGGCTATATAGATGTCAGGCTTGTGACATGGTGTGCTCTTGCTGCTATTGCTTGGGCAGGGCTTATGGTTTCGGGTCAAAGCCGTGCCCCTGTCGCTACGAAGGAGGAGGACCACCGCGACGACGAAGAGTATGGCGACGAGTAACCGTAGCCCGCAGAGCCGCGCACGACACAGACCGCTGGTATATGCAAGCAGTTTGCTGCGTTCCTTGGTGTCCTAGTACAGTCGGATCCTAACAACAGCAAGTTTGGTACTTGTTCCACTTGTACGTCGCCCTGAAGCCTTAAACCCTAGGGCGCAAAGCCCTGCCACGACTAACGTAGAGGTCAGAGTAGTTGGCAAGAGTACCTCCTTCCTTGTAGTCCACGCCTCTGTTCGAACAGTTAAGGCTCCTATAGCAGAAGCCTAAATCCCCCATTACATGGGACAAAAAGCGATACAACCCAAATAAAGCATTCCACAAAATCCTACTGAAATCTAAACCCCAAAGGCGCAGTATCACCTGGAGGGAACCTTGTAGAACCCTTCAAAGAACACGGATCGAAATCTTAAGGGAATCCCAATCTCAAAAAAGGGGCGACAGATCTTTCCTTCCAGGTCCCCGAGGGGCGCCGGATGTGGGCTAGACATGGGAGGCACAACCGCCTCTCCCCTGTCCTTCACCCTAAGGGTCCAGCATAGAGGTACTTTGGGGCCAAAGTAAAAACAAATCGGGTACATGGACCCTTAGGGTCAGTGTTCTTAGGAATTAGTTTTCGGTCTTTATTGAAGTAAGGCCGCGAGGTATTATCAAACATATTCTTTTGGTTGCGGCTCTAAGGGCTCTGAAGCGTGTTGAAGGTTCAGAGGGTTTGGGTTGAGCATCTACTGTCTAGCATTTAGCGTCTAAGCCCAGCTTCTGTCTTGAAGGCTCAGGGGCTTAGTTTCGGATTTAGGGTTTAGCATTGAGACTGTAGGGGGTCGGAATAGCTACACGTGATGTTCTTTTATAGTTCCAGTTTACCTCTAGTAGCATATGGGAGTTTCCGAAAATGTGGGGGGGGGGGGGGGGGGGGGGGGGTTGGGGTGCCCGAATTGTGTAGGATCCTGCATTGAGGCTTCTTTACTAAGGTCCCCTATATTCAGAAACTCCCGTCAATCCCCCAAACCATATTCTAATTGTCACGGGTTCTGGAGCGGCTCCCAAACCCTAAAACCTTAAAGCCCGCACTCAGGGATGTATTTTTCTTTCGATTTAGGGCAAGTCGAGGGCTTCGGGGCCCGGCTTTTGAGGGTGTAGGGTTTAGGACTACGGTTCAAGGTCTGGGGCTTGAACGGTTTGATTTCAGGGATTATGGCTTCAGGTTGATCAGCACGGAATGAACTGTTTGGGGTGTAGGGTTTGGAGGGCGGAGACAAGTAAACCGTACTCGGAGGGTCGGGGGACTTAGTAAGTAGTTATTTTATAGAGTTATAAGTACGATAACACCAATTAGGGTCCCTATTAAGGTACTTATAAGTCTATATAATAACTACTTACTAAGTCCCTCGACCCTCCAAGTAAACCCGAAACAGCCAGAGAGATCCTGACCTCGACCTTGCTTCAGTGTTGTTGCTGTGAAGATTGCAGAGGATCTAAGGCTCTAAGGACTCTTATATCAAGGTTTTTGGGCCCAATGACCATACTCTATAAGGCTTTTGTGCCATTTTGAGCCTTAGGGAAGGATCTAAACGGACCCATTTTCTATGCGCATCCTTCGAAGCGTCATCCCTCAATCCGAAACCTTAAATCAAGCAGTAGCAGTAGTGGTAGCAGCAGTAGCAGAAGCATCAGTAGCAGCGGTAGCAGCAGTAATTAGCTGTGGCCACAGCAGCAGTAGCCGTCGTCGTCGTGGTAGCTGCTGTTGTTGTACTCGCTGTACTGGCAGGTGCAGTTGTAGTTTCTTCGGTCGCATTGTTCGTGCGATGGAGATGATGGTCATCGTGCTTTAGTTGTTACCCTAAGCCCCAGTAAGCTTGGCAGGTCCGGTGGAGAAGGCAGGGCACACGTGTTGGGTTTTGGAACCCCTGAATTCCAAAGTTCATCACCTTTAACGTTTGGAGTGTGGGATAGGCTGTAGGCTGTAGCCTAAACCTCGAAAATCTGACATGCAACACCCTGAACCCTTGAGTTCTTTCTCCCAATGCCAAGACCCTAAGCACTAAAATCCTGAACCTTTCAAGCCCTAAACCTAATCCCAATCCCGAGGGTCCGAAAGTGCATGGGCTCGTGGTCCACGTTTAGGGGTTGGGTTTGAGGGACCCAAAAAAGCTAAACCCTAAAGCAGGGTGGATTGCAATGGAATTCTCGGGGTAGACTTTGCAGCTGTCATCGTTGAGTTTCCCTAGCATAGGTTTTCAGAATTGTATAGGGCTGGAGTGGGTTATTCAGGGGCCCCAACAATTAGAATAGGGCCACTGCAGGATTTGTAGGGTTTGACATAGGGCCCTTTCTAGTTACACAAGCATTATGTCGTGTATCATACTATAGTTGTACACTAACCGTCAAGCTGCCAGGATGCTGGGCCTGAATGTGCCAACTCTACTTGGAGGGTCGAGGGACTTAGTAAGTAGTAGTTATTATATAGACTTATAAGTAACTTAATAGGGACCCTAATGGGGGTTATGGTACTTGTAACTCTATAAAACAACTACTTACCAAGTCCCCTGACCCTCCAAGTACAAGGCTTCATGGCCGGGATTTCGCGCTCGGGTTTACCCTAGACCCCCAAAGCCCCAAGCCCTAAGCCATCCTAACCCCTAAATCATTAACTCTAAAACCCCGAGCCCCAATCCCTTAAGCCCTTCCACACCCCAATCCCTAACCCTCCGCGGGCACAGGAGGATGGATACTACGGTTGATGATATAAATCCTGCATGACCCATAATAAGGAATATACCATAATTCCTATAGTTTAGAGTCCTTAAGGTAATGCAGGATTTATATCATCAACCGTAGGTGGTGCAAGGGTGGTTTACCTTCTGAACAGGTTCAGCTATCGTGCTGCGAGCGGGCCAAACATGGTGCAGTGCTCCGAAACCCTAAACCATTATCTCCAAAACCCCAAGCCCCGATCCCCTCAGCCCTTCAAAACCGAAAACCCCTAAACCCCTAAACCCTAAACCATGAACTCCCAAACCCAAAACCCCAAGCCCTAAGCTCTAAGCTCCGAAGCCTTAAGGCCTAAGCCCCAAGGCCCAAGCCCTGAACCCGAAACCCTAAACTCCAAAACCCCCAGCCCTCAGCCCTCATCCCTCCAAAACCCTAAACCCCCAACCCTTAAAGCCGTAATTCTTTTTTTAGAGCCTTAAACCCAAAGCCCTAAGCCCTCCCTTAAAGGAACCCTTAACGGAAAACCCCTCTAAAGGAACCCCCTTGAAGGAACCCTTTAAAGGAACCCTTAAAACGAATCCTTAGAGGAACCCTTAAAGGAACCCTTAAAGGAACCTTAAAAGATCCTAAACCCTAAACTCTAAACCGTAAACCCTAAACTCTAAACCCTAAACCCTAAACTCTAAACCCTAAACTCTATAAACCCTAAACCCTTAAAGGAACCCGTAAGCCCTAAGCCCTTCAAAGCTGCAAGCGCGAACTCACGGGAGGCGAAGCGGTGCCGAGGAAGCCACAGGAGACGCTTCAGGCTGTGCCTACAGGGTCCCTTGTTTAGGGTTTAGGGTTTGGTTTAGGGTTTTGGGTTTAGGGGTTTAGGGTTTTAGGGTTTAGGGTTTAGGGGTTTAGGGTTGAGGGAATTTGGGGCTTTAGGGTTTGGGAGATCGGATTAGGGGCTTAGGGGTTTTAGGGTTTAGGGGTTCCTTGTTTACTTTGCATTCTTCTGGTTGGTTCTTAGAACTTTAGCTTCCCGGGTTTCTATATGAACCAGAATAAGGAGGCCAAAAGTTGAACGTTCAGGATTTAGGAGGGGTTCAGAAGTCAGCCAAGCATTTAGGGCTTTTTCGGGTTTAGGGTTTTAGACTTTTAGGGTTTGGGGTCCCAACGACCTGTTCACAGTTGTTCAGGGTTGATTAGGGTTTATTAGGGTTTGGGGTTCATTTGGGTTCGAGGTTCCTTGTCTAGGGGGGCTTATTGGGGACTTTAGGGTTTATTGGCTGGGGACTTTACGGTTTAGGGTAGGGCGTCCGGTTTAAGGATTTGGGTTTAGAGTTTAGGGTTTCTTTTGGGACTTTGGGGTTTAGGGGATCGGATCGGATGAGGGGTCTAGGGTTTAGGGTTTAGGCATTAGGGTTCAGGGTTTGTTTAGTAATAATCTAGGGTTTAGAGTTTAGAGTGTAGGGTTCAAGGTTATTGATTAGGCTTCAGGGTTTAGGGTTTGGGGCTTGGTTCTTGTATCCAAAGTGGTAGAGGTTTTGGGGGTTTAGATTTTCAGGCTCTCAAGATTCAGGAGGTTGAGTTGAGGGTATAGTGTCTTTGAGGTTAGGGTTGTTGTTTGCTTGGATTTTCCAGCCGTTTAGGATTTGATAGGATTTTTTGTGGGTTAAAATCATAGTTGTCGTAGCGACAGCCGTCATCAAAGTTGTTACGGCAGTAACTGGATTCAAAGCAGAAGTGGGCCGAGATGCAGGTTTTAGGAGTCTTGGGTTTGGTTTGTATAAGCGTCATTAAACCCAGACAAGTATGCAACCCTTTCAACAGCTTGTCAAAGCTACAAGCCGCGTAAACGCCTTAGCAAGCCTGCAAAAAACATAAACACCTTCATCAAACCTTCAAAGTCTTTCCTTAAACCCTAAATCCTAATCCCTACACCAAACTGTCGGGCATGACTGTGCCACGGGAGGCGAGTCCGCAAGCCAAGGGGCCAGCTAAGGAGCAGGCGCCAGACGAGGTGGAGGCCGCAGTGATGCCTTCAGGGTTTAGGGTTTTGGGGTTTAGGGTTTAGGGGTTTAGGGTTTAAGGGTTTAGGGTTTAGGTCTTACTGTGCATTCGGAGTTTTGTAGAGTCTTTCTGCGAGTCTTGTGGTTTTTGTTTCTTGTAGGAGTTTTGAAACATTTAACGGTGCGGTGATACTCGTAGGTCGTAGGTGGTTGTTTTGATTATTGATACTTTGTTGTGGTTTTAGAAGGTTCGGGGCAGGCTGACATAGACCCGATACTTTAGGAACACCACCGAATTGTGGGATATGACTTCAATCAGATGAAGGATTCCTCTATAATGTAGGGTAGATTGCATTGTTACATGCTATACTGCACTATTATATCCAGGGATTCTGGACGACTCTCCTCGGACTCCACGAAACCTTGAACCCCAAACCCCCAAACCCCAAACCCTAAACCATGAACCCCAACTCTCAAAAGCCCAAACCCTCAAAACCCCAAAGCCTAAGACCCTAGGCCCCAAGAGAGCGCTAAGAGCCCCAAAGCCCTCCACTCAGTAATAGTTGAATAATATTCATAATATAGATTTATTAGGACCTCCATAGTAGCCCTATTATAGACTCTTACTGTATGGGGGCCGTACCCAAGCTATGCCCCAAAGCCCTCCACCCGCCTTAGGAGCCGCCGCCGGGTAGCAACGAGGCTGAAGCTGCCGATTCGCAGGCGCCTTTCCGAGCTTCTTTCGGCGTTTTTTCTGGGTTTAGGGGTTTAGGGTTTGGGGTCTAGGGGTTAACATAGGGGTTTAGGGTGCATTTTAAGGTTTTGCTGGGTTTTTGATGCATTTTTTTTTGCAGGGGGGGGGTGGGCGGGTTTGGGATTTTGGGTTTTCGGATTTAAGGGCTTCGGGGGTTTAGGGTTTTGGGGTGTTGGCGAAGTTTATGGAAGCAGCGGTCGAAAAGAAAAGAGCTGGATTGCGATTGTTCGCACAGCTCGGCTCAGGATTTCCGAGTTTTGACTATCACTTCTAGCTTCTAGTTCTCGATTTTTCGCTTTGGGGTTAAGGGGTCATAGTTCCGTCTTTTCAACTACAGCTTTGTCTGGAGTTCTAGAACGGCTTCTAGCACGGAGGATACGGTTTTAAGCACTGTATTGTTCTACAGGGATTGTTTCCGAACGGTACGGTTAACTTAATCAGGGGTCCTTCTAGTTCGGATCCTAGCATGACAAGATGTAAGGTACCTGGATTGTCTGAATCTCCCTATACTGCGCCCGTATCGGGTTTAGAGGGGGTGGGGCTGCCCAAAGCTTAACCGCGGAGACTGCGAAACGCCTGTGTAAAAAGGAGCATCACTTAATAGCACTACGAATCCCTTCATGGACGACCCTAGGGCTCCACCTAAATCATTGAATATTGGGTTACTTATTGTATGGTTAGTAACCTCTTTTGAGTAGCTGCAGGTGTAGGGTTAAGGTATTTTAACAACCCTGGCACCACACCAGTCAAGCCCAATCCCCGTAAGCACGACTGGTAAACCTCAAGCCTTCGATCCAGGCGCTGGCAGCCCGACTGACCTGCAGACTTTCAGGGTTTTTGGGTTTAGGGTATAGAGTTTAGGGTATAAAATTTAGGGTTTAGGGTTCAGGGTGTAGACTACAGGGTTTAGGATTTGAGAAATAGCAATGACTTCTAAAACCTGTCGGAAACTTTCAATAGAGAATAGAGAGCTGCTGAGACCTCAGAAGCCAAACTGAAAATCTTTCTGACACGCCACGAAACCCTTCCCAAACTCCCACGAACCCTGTGAAGCCTGATGAGGCTCCATAAGCCTTTAAGAAAACCAGTATGGAACCTTAAAAATGCCTAAGGCGTCCGACGGGACTGGCGCAGCTGTTGCTGGCGAGGGCCCCACCGATGATCAGGCGCGGACGTCCTCGGAGTTCCTGTGCATGGGTTTAGGGGTTTAGGGGTTTAGGGGCTTCCAACCTTCGGCGTGCACGCGCACAGTGCTCGCCCAGGTTCACCCAGTCTTTCAACAGGCTCTTACTTGTCGGAGAATTCGTTACAGGAAGTGCTTCTCGGCGAGAAATGGCCCCTTACGAGAAAGGCTGTCTCAGCCTGCTGCCGTTCCTCTACTCCCAGGACTGGCTGCTCGAGACGTCCAGCCCGAAGCTTCGGGAGGCGCACATGGAGGTGATGGTTAGGCACACGAGGGTGGCGAGACGCGCTAGCCATCCCTTTGGAGATGGCGAGGGACGTGCTCGCGCTTCGCTGCGTCGGCCTCCTCACGGGAAGAATTTGTTCTAAATCCTAAACTCTACATCCTACTGTGGTGGAAACCACATGAAACGACTACGGGCAGGAAGGATCCTCAGGGGAAGCCTCCTAACAGAGAAAGGCTCCTTCAACGAAAATCTCCAGCAAGGGCCTCCTTACGCGAAAGCCCACCCCTGTGGCAAAGGCCATCGTAAGGAGAAGCTTTGAATAGTTTTGGGGTTTGGGGTGTCTGGATGTCGGCCGCACCCTGCAAGAAGCCCCTGCCTAGCCCTTTTGAGCTTCAATCCTAAGCCCAAAACCGTAAACCGAGCCCTATAGAGCCCTGCAAATGCCTCAATCTATAGAGAGCCTTCGAGTGAGAGCCTTCAGCCCGGAACTTGAAACCCTAAACCCTAGCTCTAAACCTGCACCCTAAAGATCTAGAACCCCAAACCCAAGCCTTAAAGCTTATCTAAAGCCGCAAACCCTACACCCCAAACCCTAGGCCCAACACTTTGGGGTAGTCCGACTCGATGAGTGAAGGTCGTTGAGGAGGCTCCAGCATCCCCTGCGGCCTTCGTGGAAGAGGTCGGGAAGACAGCTTGGCTTGGGTTTCGGCGGCTTAGCATAGTGTGTTTATGTTTTGGCGGCTTTAACATAGGGTTTATGTCTTAGGCGGTTGAACATAGGGTTCAAAGTTTAGGAGTTTGCCTAGGCTTTGGGCTTCACGGGCTTTGATATACGGTTTTGGGTTTAGGGCCTAGGGTTTGGGGTTCAAAGTCTTGGGTTTCGAGTTCGCGCATCGGTTTTGGGTTTAAAAGCCTTTGAGGCAGCGGAGGTCTAAGGTTCAGGCCTTGGTACTGCACCCTCAAGCCCAAACGCTTCTCGAGTAGTGGCCCTCGCAAAATCCGAAACCCAAAACCCTAAGCCCGGAAACCCCAAGCGCTGCGATGAGTTTTGTTTTTTTAGACTTTGCATGTCTGTCCCACTGCACGCAAGTCAGTGATGGTCTCATGTGCCCAAAATACCGGAGTCTGTCATGTCAACTGGTGAACCCAAGCCCTACTGTACATCATGGGCCTTAGCCCTGACTCGTGCCTAAATATTCCTGGACACCCGCAACCTTTTGCGGAATCGTTCGTATCACCGTCATCGAGTCCTTTGATCATCTGAATTCTAAACGGCATCATTGGATTTCACATATAGTATGTAGTTCGAGAGGTGAAACGCTTTTGTAACTCGACAACTCTGCTTGGAGGTTCATGGGTAGTTATAAGTAGGGTTATCAGTAGGATAACTAGAGCTATAACCCATAGTAGGGGACTTATAACCCCACTTATAACTACCCATGAACCTCCAGACGGACCGGCCGGATGAATTCGAACGTAGGGGAAGACTTGGCCAAGTAATTCGGGTTGGAGCACCTCGGTGGGGTGCTGTCAAGCCAATCGCCGTCATGTTCGATTTCATCTGTTCGGCGGAATCCCTAAATCCTAAACCCTAAACCCTAATCCCTAAACTCTAAACTCTAAACCCTAAAACCTAATCCCTAAACCCTAAACCGCAAAGGAGGCGACTCGGGATGTTCGGGCAGATGTAAAAAGGAGTTCAAAAAAAAAAAAAACCGCAAAGGAAGACTGAGTACCCGGACTTCGACTTGAAAGCAATGAGTTTACAGACCGCCGCGCGGGATACACCAGGGGTTTAGGGGTTGTAGGGCTTAAACTCATTGCTTTCAAGTCGAAGTCCGGGTACTCAGTCTTCCTGAAAGAAAGTTTGCGGTTTGGGGTTTAGGGTTTAGGGGGTGAATCCAACCCTACGCTGGGAACTTGAGGAGAGTCAGATGAAGTGAAAGCACTCCTCATTCCTCATGGAGGCATCTACTGAACCCTAGGCCCCAAACCCTCAGCCTAAATCCCAAGTCCTCAACCCCAAACCCCTATCTGCAGTCGGAAAGAGCCCTTAAGTCTGAACCCTAAACCCTACACCCTGAACCCTAGACCCCAAGCTTTTTGGGGCGTTCGTGTCCATAGCCCAGGCCCCGGCACCACTGGCGGCCGGTGAGGAAGAGGTAGGGCATACTATAGGCCCTAAACCCTAAACCCTAAACCCTGACCTATATCTAGGACCCAGAGGAGGCCCTTATTCCCTTTTTTAAGGGTTTAGGTTCCCTTATAACCCCCTTTAAATCAAAAAGGACACCCTTTTTATTGAATAGGGTTCCTTTAAAGGGCTCTATAAGGGCTACCCTAAGGGCTAGTATAAGTATTTGGTATAGGGACCTAGATATTTACCTATACTACTGTGGGGGTGGGGGTTCCTTGTTATAGCCATAGTAATTATGACACACACCGAAATCCCATTGTAATTCTCGACGCCCTATTTTTACAGCTTCTTAGGGTTTGGGGTTTGGGGCTTTAAACAGAGGGTTGAATAGTCGAGGGGTTTCAGTGTAATGATTTAGGGTTTAAGGCCTAGGGCTGGTGACTTCGAGTTTAGGGTCTAGGCCCTTTGTGAGTTTGATTGTTTGCCTGAGGTTCAGGATGCAAAGGTTCGAATTTCCGGGTGGGGGTGGGAATCAGGGATCAAAATTCTGGCAGGTTTATAAGCTTTATAGACGTTGGTGCCCTCGCTGCAATCTGCAGGTATCTGAACTTCAATCACGAAAGGTGCCACAAGCGTATCTCGCAAGCCGAGTTGTGGTCCCATGAATCAAGTATACGCCTGAACGCCTAATATGGGGGGCCTGCATAGTTATTAAGAGCAGTCCCAAAGTTCCTTTCTAGTACTAGAGGATAGTATAATTACCCAAGACACTATCCTAATGACTGGAAGCCTTTCTACAGGGATGTGTAACATGGTTAAAGTATATCCCTTAGGTAACGAGATTTGGAGTCTCTGGGTCGATGTAGAGCTTCATTCAAAGCTTTTTGAGAAGCCTTTAGAAGTATCCCAAGAGCCGTCCAGTATAGAACCCTGACAAACCTGTGAAAGACCGGACCAATTGCTCTGTAACCAGCGTTGCGGTCGATCTTGTCAGAGTCGACTTTGCGGAACCACCGCAGGACACGCTTTTTGGAATCAGTCCAGGCCATCCACATGCAGGATTCGCCCTGGCTTAGCTACTCTAGCGACCTGGCGACCGCTCTTTGGTTCGCCGTCGCGAAGGCCGGTCGCGCACGCGCAAACTTGAGGCTTCATACATCTTCGGAAGGCCCGCTCTAGGGAGCGACCCCTAAACCCTAAACCCTAAACCCCCTAAACCCTAAACCCCCTAAACCCTAAACCCTAAACCCCCTAAACCCTAAACCCTAAACCCCCTAAACCCTAAACCCTAAACCCTAAACCCCCTAAACCCTAAACCCCCTAAACCCTAAACCCTAAACCCCCTAAACCCCCTAAACCCTAAACCCTAAACCCTAAACCCCCTAAACCCTAAACCCTAAACCCCCTAAACCCTAAACCCTAAACCCTAAACCCTAAACCCCCTAAACCCTAAACCCTAAACCCCCTAAACCCTAAACCCTAAACCCCCTAAACCCTAAACCCTAAACCCCCTAAACCCTAAACCCTAAACCCATCGACCCGACCGAGCATGCGACTTTCACAAAGCAGCAGGAGATCCCTCTGAGCGTCTCCTCTTGAAGAGGACGTGGTTTGTCGTCTGTGTCTGGGGTCTCCTAAACCCTAAACCCTAAACCCTAAACCCAAAGCCCCAAAACCCTAACACCCTAAACCCTAATTACCCCAATTGCATTTGGCATGACGACCTCTTGAGGGGGATCGCATGCCATCCTGGTCTTCCGAGCGGCGGTGGACTTTGAGCCTAGGGTGCTGGTCAGTGCTAGTCTACCTTAAACCCCATAGCCTATACCCTAAGCCTGACCCCTAAACCCTAAACCCTAAGCCTTAACCCCTAAACCCTAAACGTTAACCCCTAAACCCTAAACCCTAAAGCCCTTAGCCCTAAACCCTAAAACCTCAACCCTTCGCCTTAAAGAACTCCCAGTGTCGTCTTGCAGGTGGACCGGCCCCCGGTCCACGCCTTCCTCGCCCCGCTGCCGGCTCCCGAGGAGGCGCTGAAAGCGGGCGAAGAGGGGGCAGAACGGGGGAACCCTAAAACCCCATAGAACCCTTAAAGGAACCCTATAGCTCCCTTATAACCCTACTTATACCTACCCTAGACCGTAAACCTTATAGAGGGGGGCCCAGAGGGCCCACGGGGGTACGTGGGGTTTAGCTGAAAAAAGGGTCTGAAGGGGTTTATGGGGCTGTTATAAAAGGGGGGGGCAGGGGACACATGGGGTTGAGGGTTTAGGGGTTTAGGGCTTGGGGGTTTGGGTTTTAGGGGTTTCCACTCCAATATCCCGTAACTAAGGAGTATTCCTTAAGTCATAGTAGGGATCCTACTATACTTTAAGGTATCTTCCTCAATTATATAAGGGTTATTGGAGTCTCTGGGTGCTTGGGGTTTAGGCTTTACGGTTTAGGCTCTATCTGGGAAGGATCTTTGTTCCATGAAGATTTTGGACTTGTTGTTAACCCCTATTCTTTCAAAGTAGTTCGAGGCAGGATGTACACACAGCAGGAGCGAAGGAAAACCCGAACGCTTATGAGGATACTTTAAGTCCCTTGATGCTTTGAGCATGGCCTCCTAAACCCTAAACCTTTTTGCGGGTAGGTCGCCTGTTGGAGGACCTTATTGGGTTTCAGTTAAGAGGCCTTAATTAGAATGGGTTTTGAGGTACACGCACCATGATTCTGTAGCACTATGACGGGGTATTGCTTCAAGCCCAGCATAAACTTGCAAGCAGTTTTCCAATTTCTTTACTTTCAAACTTATAGATTTGTCGAGGTTTTAAGAGCGCGTTGGAGGGCTGAAAAGGGTGTCAGAAGGCTCTTGGAGGGGTTTGTAGAGCTCAATCCGTTCAGGAAGGTCCCTCTACTATGACCACAGGAGTGTTGATTGCTTAGTGATTTTTGTGGTTTTTCTAAGTAAACCTTTTCGTTGCAGAGTTTGGGCTTTAGGGGTGCAGGGCTTTGCAAACTCCTGAACCCTAAACCCCTAAACTCCGAAACCCTAAGTCACAAAACCACTCCACCCTACATCCCGAAACCTTAAATCTCTAAACCTGAAGAACCCCAACCCCCAACTAGCACAGGAGACTCCTCCCCCTGCTGTCGCCATCTGCCCAGACGCTGAAGCCGAGGCTGTGGGCTCCTTCTAAAGGGGCTCTCGGGTAGTCTTGGGGCTTAGGTTAGGGACCCCAAAGCACATGAGCATAAGCATTTTAGGGGGATATCCCTACCGTATTGGCCTTCCTTTTGAGGGGGTTTGATCTGGGATAGCCCTATCCTCATTTTTGCTTATGTGCGTTTTTGTGGCCCTACTAGGGCGTAGGCTTAGTAGCGCAGGTGACCTTTAACCTTTTGGGGCTTGGATGATCCTGCCTTGATTGTAAAGGTTAAGCTTTTTTGGGCTGGGGTACTCAGCTGCTTTGTAGGGTGCTACGGCCTCGAGGTTTAAGGTTTAGGTAAAGTTTAGGGTTTGAGGTGAGGGTCTAGGGCTTAGGTAGGGTTTGAGGGTTTGCGGTAGGTCTGCGTTGGAGGTTCAGGTTTTAGGTTGAGGTGGGGTTGCAGGGTTTGGGGTTTAGGGTGTAGAGTTGAGGCAGGTTTTAAAGGTTTGAGGTTTAGGGTTTTTTTGAGGCTTTTGGGTTTCGGGGTGTCTAAGAGTCTAGGAACACGAAACCTGTTATTGGTTTTGGAGTTTCCAAAACCCGCTAGTGAAGGAATTTGCATTAAATCAAGTTCAGGGTCAGTCTCTATATATATATATATATATATATATATACACACACACACACACACTTGGCATCGATTGTTTAATATAGAGCCCTAATTATAGATAATTTTGGGGACTGCTGAAATCGACACCTGGTATATGTCTAAACCGAGGACCCCCGAATCACGAAACCCGGTTTAGGGTTGGGTTGTCAGGTGGGCTGGTTTTGATGTTACATTTTGTTCGTTGGGCCCCCAATAGAACCCAAATCCCTAAGCTTAAGCCTTGTTGCTAGAAGCGTTTCTCGAACATAGGGGACCTTAAATATTGTACGCTAAATAGTAGGATCTTTGTTATAAGGACCCAAAACACTAAACCGTAAACCCTAGACCCTAAACCCTAGACCCCAAAGTAAGGTACGCCTAATTGCCTGGAGCCGCTCTTGTTGTATACACAGGACTTCGAACTGCCGATACCCTAGACTCTAAACCCTCCCCAGGATCTAATACGAAACGGTTTAGGGTTTAGGGATTAGGGACGCTTTGCGGTCCAGACTTAGTGCTTTCAGTGTGCAGGGCCTAAGTAAGGGTTGGTGGTCTTTATGAGACCCAGAGAACCAAATACCCCTTAACTCAGGAATACAGCTTAAATCATAATATGAAGCCCTATATAATTTAAGCCATATTCCTTAATGAAGGGGTATTGGGCTCTCTGGGGAACCTCCTAGCACCCTGACCAGGCCGCTGACGCTGATGCTGCAGTGGAGCAGGTTGATGAGGAGGAGAAGCGGCACCCCAAATCCTCATGACCTAATCTAAACTACTCCTAGACGCTAAACTCTAAAGCCAAGCCTACAGCCGTAAAGCTCGAAACTTCTCTATCTAGCCCAAACCCTACACCCCAAACCCCAACCCCTAGCCCTGAACTCTTACAACCCCAAGAAGCAAACCCTAAACTCCCAAACTGAAGCCCTCAACCCTACACCCTACACTCGACTTGGAGGTTCATGGGTAGATATAAGCGGGGTTATAGGTCCCCTAACATGGGCTATAGCTATAGTTATCCTACTTATAATAACCCTACTGATAACTACCCATGAACCTCCTCTATTAGAACCCATAGAGCCCTCATAGATCCCTTAAAGGAGGACAAGCGGGAGGCATTGCCTGCTGATCTCCAGCGTCAAGTAGAGGCTCGGACTCGGATTGGGGGAGGGGATCTAAGTTTCAGGATTCCCTCTATTAAAATAGTAGGGTTTAGGGTTTAGGGTGTGCTACTTTATATTTGTTTCAGTGAGGGTTTCGCAAGGGTTCTATGAGGGGTCGAGAAATTCCCCAGAACGGAATTTGAGGTGTTTACAGAGGATGTTATAGGGCTTGTGGTCTGCCGCGCATTTATTCAAATACAGCAAGCCCCAACACCGTCCCCACACCCACAACTGCGATTAACCTTTATGTTTTTTGCTTGATGGGAACCTGCCTAAATGAGCATGTGAGCTTTGATATTTGGATAACAGTCAATATAACGTATTCGGGCTTCCTCAAGAAACCATATGATGGCAACTAACTCCACCCATACAGCAAAAGAAATGTTTAAACCTCCGAAATCACTTCCGAGCCCCCCGAACAACCTTAACCTAAACCCTAAACAACCAATCCCAAACCAACAGCAGCCCTAAGTTCCCTAATCATCAGTCATAGGCGGCCAAAACGGGTTCTAGCCTCTGGGTGTTTACCAAGGATTTAGGGTTCCCATAATCGGGTTCATACTAAGGAACCCCTAGCCCAAGAATCTTAACCCCCCCTTTTGGCCTCCCATCAATCAGGTTCACTGCCATCCAGAGCAGCGGCCCTTGGAGCAGGTGCTGAAGGCCCGGCAAGTTCGACCCTAATGTAGGGGCCTTAATAATTAGAATAGGGTTCCTTTAAAGGGGTCTGTACGGGTTACTATAAGGGACCTAGAAGGGTATTATCATGTAGGGGCCTAAGTAATTAGAATAGGGTTTTGGGGCATATTATGCAGTAGTCACAATAAGGAACCCACAAAATAGTCTCGGTAATTATTTAGGCCCCTGTGTTAATCAACGACCCTCATCGTGGGAATGACCAAACCCTAAACTCTAGAAGGTACTTGGAGCTTAATGGTGTGGAGTTATAGTTATAAGTCCCCTACTATAGGCCATAACTACAGTTTTCCTTCTTGTAGCCCTACTGATCCAAGTAGGGCTGAAGTCTCATATTAAGGTTCCGACAGGTGCGGAGTTGGGGCTTTACGGGTTTAGGGTTCCTATGCCGGTTGTGCGTCTTTGGGTTTAGTGTTTAGGATTTTGCAGCTTATAAGGGTTCTGTCTGTGTCTATAGGATTGAACGGTTTAGGGTTCCAGGATTCATGCTTTGGGGTTGAGGGTTTAAACAGATCAGGATTTAGGTTACAGGGCTTGGTTTGGGGTGACAGTTTAGACCGTTGCCTTCTACATACCCTAGAGCTCCCCGAGAGTCCCTGGAGGGCTTGTGTAGGACTGTTGAACCCTCAAAGCGTTTCCTCGTCTCTTCATAAGAAAGGTTGCATGTAACCCTTTGTGAGTTTTTGGGGTCTTAAGCAAGCCTGCCGCAACACACCTTCCAATCACAAGAGCAAGGTCCCAACCTCTGAACCAACAAAGCTTCACTTCGCATAAATGGTTGTGAGGGTTATAGAAACCCACACCCTAAACCCCAACAGCCTAAACCCCAAACCCTAGATTTAAGTGGTAGGATCCTTCCAGGTAAGAGAGTGAGAGAGGGCCCCGTACCTTTAAGAACGCATCGGATCCCCAATCGGGGGGCTTGGGCCTGAACACGAAGGCCAGAAGGCCATAATGTATTTGGGAGTTTCCGAAAATTAGGGGTACCTTATTTTGGGCCCTATTGTCGGAAAATCCCATTTAGGGTTTTGGGCTACAGGGCTAAAGGGTTTTGGGCTAAGGGTGTATGGGCCGGGAGAACTACCAGTCTGATTTCTTTAGGGCTCCCTAGACAATCGCACTAGAGTGCACCCGAAACCCAATTTTCGTCATTCGGGCCCTCGTGTTGAGGTTTTCAAGGGCGTTAAAATAGCACCGGCCTAGATAGTTGGTAGCCATACTATGTTGGAGGTTCCCTATGATGATTGTAGTATAACAGGCCCCCAAAACCCGATTCTAATCATTAAGGCTTGTACAGTAGCCAAACCACAGGAGCCGAACGAGCAGCAGAAAGCAGAGCCTGTTCGGAAGAAGGACACCTGGCTTTCAGAAAGGTTTCATAAGACTCCTCAAGCGTCTAGTTTTCATGGGGTTGAGGCACGAACTAGCCCTAAACCATAACCATGCAACGCTAAAGCCCGAATTGTAGGGTTTACAGGGTGCAGGATATATGCGTCGAGGGAAATCTTGGTCTAGGCCCTCTAGGCTCAGGCTTGACGCGTAGGCTTGACGATGCTGAAAGATGAGGCCCTAAACCCTAAACCCTAAACCCTAAACCCTAAACCCTAAACCCTAAACTCTAAATGGGTGTAGGGTGAGGGAGTTGTGGGCCCAGGGTGCCGGGAGGCAGGCTTTCGGGCTTTCTGGGCTCAGGGTGTAGGGTTCGCGTGTTTCTGTGTCTGTGTTTAGATGCCTTTTAAACCCGGAAAGTTCCCGAACCCCAGAGCCTAAACGACCATGATCTGCTTGTGTGAACCCGAATACGGAATTGGAAGGGGCCCCACACAGAAATCTAGGTTGTGGTAGCTCAACGTAAACTTAAACCCTAAACCCCAAGACGAATCAGCACAGGAACATAAACTACCCCGACACGCGAAGCCGGAACGAACCGCGAGAAAAGAACTAAAACTTGTTTGTAGTCTTCGAGGCAAAAATATGTATGTATACAGATAGACAGATAGATAGGCAGCTAGCTAGGTAGATATGTAGATCGATAGATGGATGGACGGACCCCTGTTCATAAATTGTAAACACCCTGCTTTTGGCAAGGCATGGTAGCTTAATGTGGAATCCGAGGTATTATCCTAGCAGGCATCTTGTAGCCGGACACGCACCGCCTGTGCAAAGCCACTAGCCCCTTAAACCCTAAACCCTAAACCTTAAACCCTCAAACCCTAGATCCCAAACCTCAAACCCTCAAACCCTCAAACCCTAAAACCCTAAACCCTAAACCTTAAACCCTCAAACCCTAAACCCTTGACCTTAAACCCTAAACCCCAAGCTCTAGCATGTGGAAGCCCTCCTGTAAACCTGAAAGACCCTCCGCCAAACCACCCAAGGATTCCGCCGTCCCTCATCCGAAAGTCCTAACTCAACAAACCTGTTTGGGTTATATACCCTAAACCCTACAACCCTCCACCCGATACCAAAAAACCCTAAACCCTAAAGGTTACAAACCTATATATATATATATATATATATGTGTGTATATATATATATATTCACAGATATATATATATATATATATATGCTTACTCGGGTTTCTTTATCTAAGGCAAGGGTTTTCCAGGGGACAGGCATATAGCAAGCTCTGAAGCTCTAAACCTGACGCGTTGAACTTTGATAAACCCTGACCTCGTCATAAGCCCTACTTGGAGCTTCATGGGTAGTTCTATGTGGGGTTATAAGTCCCCCCTATATGGGTTTTTACTATAGTTACCTTGCTTATAACCCTACTTATAACTACCCATGAACCTCCAAGTAAACTCCAAGACCCACAAGTACCGTAATTATGTAACTCATTTTAGGGCTTATTAACCCGCGTATAACTACCCATGAACCTCCAAGAGACCTCGTCATAAACCGGGCTTAGGGTTTAGGGTCCCCCAAATCCTTGAACCCTGAAACCCCTAAACCCTAAACCCCTAAATGTGGAGTCCAAGCCTTCGACCCAGAAGCCCCAAACCGGCCACCCCGAACATGTAATGTAGGGAACTGAAGAATTAAAATCGGGTTTGGGGCTATATTATACTTTAGTTATATAGTAGGGAGCCACCTATTCTGATTATTAAGGCCCCTGCATTATGCTTCTACTATTCTTCCTTGGGGTTCCTTCTTTGACCATACTACCCACTCACTAATTTTATTCCTTAGGGTTCCTTGTTTTATTTGCCTACATTACGCCCTTCTCCGTGCACTAGGAGCCCTTAAAACGGCCTTATAGAACCCTCAAACCCTATAGACCCCTTTATACGAAACCCTTGAAGGAACCTTATAAACTCATAGGGATCCTTAGGGGTGTAGGGGGGAGGGGTGTAGGGGACTATATTTCCTTAAATCGGCCTTATTAGTCCTTATTATGGGCCTTAAGGCCCCCAACCCCCCCTCCCCCTACACCCCTAAGGATCCCTATGATAAACCCCACTGATAACCACTGTAGGGGCCTAAATGATTACCAATACTGTTTTTGTGGGTTACTTTTTACGATTACAGTATAATATACCTCAAAACCCTATTCTAATTATTTGGGCCCCAGTGTAGTGTGGCGGTTCTGACTGCAAGGGCCGTGCTTTCTTTTCTCAGTGAAAGACTGAGCAGGAGTCGCAAGCTTTTGACGCTTGTCGGTCAGTATCCAGAAGTGGTGCTGCGCTACGTTGTGTTCGTCTCACATGAACACGAATGCGGTGTGATGATGATGATTTGGGCCCCAACATGATAGTACCCTTATGGATCCCTTATAGTAACCCTTATAGACCCCTTTAAAGGAACCCTTTTCTATTCATTAAGGCCCCTATATGACCCACAAATCTCCAAGCAGGCGACCCCGCTCCCCACCAATGCGCGTGGCAAGGCCAGGACATAAGCTCAAGCATTTTATGTAGGGATCCCTACCTTATTGGGCTTCGATATTAAGGGAGTCTATATGGTTTTGGAACCGGAGTTGCCGATTCAGGGTTGAGGGTTTAGGGTGTTTAGGTATTTAGGGTTTGGAACTCAGGGGTTCTGGTTTACTGCTTCAATAGGGCTACATAGGGTTCTAACAGGTTTCTATGTGGGGTTCGTCAGGGCTATTGAGGTTTAGGGTCCCGCGGTGGGGTTGAGTTTTTCGGTGTTCCGGGTTCGGGGGGTGGCGTCCGCGACAGAATCTCCCAGTTCACGACTCTGCATGGAATGGTTCAGGGTTTAGTGTTTAAGGTTGAGGGTTTAGGGTTTTAGGCCTCGGTTGAGCGACGGGATCAAAGGAGACGACCGCCGCAGCGGAGGCGGACTCGGCATGTGAGATCGTGCAAATGGGAGTTTCCGAAGAATTAGGGGTACCTTATTTGGGGGTCCTTAGAATAAGGCTCCTACTATTTAGGGTACTATATTTGGATCCACTATTTTCGGAAATCCCCATATTGGCACGATGAAAAATGTCCATGTACGTAGTTCTGCAGCAGGCAGGGATGGAACAGCAGGCTGCGCAAACCCTTAAACCCCTAAACCAGCCTGTCCAAGGCAGGGTCGTGGCAGCAGGAGAAAGGCCCACTGCATTCAAAAAAAACCATAGCGGTGCTTGTTTTGTGTTAACAAGAGAACAGCACTGTGACTTGCATCTAATCTTCGAAGGAGCTTCAAGACTGAGGAGGGATAATGTAGGAATCTGATTAAGAAACCCTGGCCTTATAACGCCAAAATAGTAAGATTCATATTAAAAAGGAACCCCAATAAAGGCCCAAGGTTTCTTAATCAGGTTCCTACACTAACATTACTGCATCGTCAGTCTGAACACATGAAAGTACATCGGGGGTAATGTTTCGTCGGCCCAGGCTTGAGGTTGGGAGTAAGGTCTAGGAGGCTTCACGGCGCAGGCCCTAAGCCCCTGAACCCTAGAACTCTCAACCTCACTAAACCCTTAAACCCAAGTCTAAAGAAGCCGCTGGCTCCGCGAGTCTTGCCCTAAACCCTAAACCCTAAACCCTAAACCCTAGGTGGAGTGGTATGCTTTGGATGCTGCGGACTCTGAGCAGGAGGACGGGGTTCTCGAGCTCAGGTCCGCCGAGGCTTTGTGTGGAAGCCCCAAATGCAAAGCGGGGCCAACGACTCCCAAACTCTTTTCTTAAGCAGCATACCCTAAACCATTTTAAAGGCACCCTTATCATTTAGGGTTCAGGGTTTGGAGGCTTTGGGTGAAGTTACATTGCTGGAAAACGGGGAGTTTAGGAGTTGTTGGGGCAGCTTCTTGGAGGCGGTTGCTAGGCCCTCCAATATCCTTCAATTAAGGAAGGAAGACACCTTAACTCATTTAGGGGATCCTGTCATACTTTAAGGTATATTCCTTAATTAAGGGATTTAGGAAGGTGTGGGTTATGCACCAGAACTCCGAAGCATCTTTCTTCAGTAGGCCGGTTTGAGGTTTCCTTTGTATAGTTGGGTTGCATTTTGCATTCTTATTATGGGTACTTAAACCTAGTAAGGAATTGAAACTAAGATTTTGAATACTATCCCAACCATGCTGGTGTCATAATACAAGGTTGTACACACACATATCCTGAATCCACGGCTGCTGCCCTAAGCTGTTGCGTGGACACGAGGAGCCGGCCAGAAAGATACGAAAGATTCAGTTCAATACAAGACGGATTACCAAAGGCATGTCCGAGAAGGAGAAGCAGGCTATCATTCAGGAATGGAGACTGAATAAGATCAAGTCCAGCAAGGCGTGGCATGACAAGTTTGCTTCGAAAAGGGCACCTGGCCTGCACGGATCAAAGAATTGCAACATTGATAGACATGTGGATGAACATGTTTTTTTTTCACGCTCGAGGTGCACGGAAACGTCAAGCACTCCGATCCTGGCAGAACCCAGAGAGCCCAATACCCCTTAATTAAGGAATATACGTTAAATCATAATATGAAGCCCTATACAGTTTAAGCCATATTCCTTAATTAAGGGGTATTGGGCTTTCTGGGAACCTAGACCCAGAGCCGAAAATTTAGTCCCAAAAGCCGGAGGGACTCAAGGTTACTGTGTGACGAGACACTGGGGATTTTGGAGTGTTGGGGGTGCTGCTTAACCCTAAACCCTAAACCCAAACCCTAAACCCTAAACCCCTAAACCGTCAAACTCAAACCCTAAACCCTAAACCGTAAACCCTGAACCTAAGCCCAAAGCCCTGTTGATGCTTTCTCGGACCGTTATCACCCTCCCAGACCTCCGGGAAGATCTAGAAAGTAGATCCCCTAATCGGGGCCCTATACTACTAAGGGTACTTTATAGGAACTCCCATTAAGGGATCTACTTTCTCCCGGGGGTCTGGGCTAGGACGAGCCTCTCAGGATGCTCTAGAGTTACTTGGAGGTTCATCGGTAGTCAGTTATAATAAGTAGGGTCCATGCGTAGGATTTCTATGTATGTATGTATGTATGTATGTATGTATATATATATATATACATATCTATCTGTATATATATATATCTATGGATATATACATATCATAGACAGATAGGTAGATAGATAATGTTGGATCCGGATTAACAACCCCCCCCCCCGCCCCCCCCCCGCTGTCAAGGTTAGCCCGCTTGAACTTGTTCATGGGTTCAAGTTTTTCCCGGCCCCCCCCCGATTATGTGGGGATGGGGTTAAATATTAAGTATAGTAGTAAGTAGATAGAGAGTACTTAGTAAAGTATTGCAGTCGTACAATAGGAGTACAGTAATATAGTAGTAGTACAGTAGTATAGTAGTAGTACAGTAGTACAGTAGTATTACAGTAGTATAGTAGTAGTGCAGTAGTACAGTAGTACAGTAGTACAGTAGTTCTCTTTACGGTTTAGGGTTCAGGGTTTGGGGTTTAGGGTTAAGTCATAAGCCTCTAAATCCCCTAAATCCTTACTTCGGGGATTTTCGGGGATGGCCCCGTCTAATCGGGGGGGGTTTAGGCGAGCTCCGGTACTATAGGGGTGGGGTCTAATGGACTTCTTCATTAAGCCCATGACATGCCCGGGACGGCCCGTCTAATCTGGGGGGGTCTCTTAATCCGGAAACGACATTAGACCGATAGAGTTATAACCCTCATCATATTACTGCCCACGGATCTCCAAGTAGACCCCAACAACTCCCGAAACCCTAAACCCCATAAGCCCGAACATAAAACCCGAAACCTTTCGACCCTGAACCCCAAACCCAAACCCCAAACCCTAAACTGAACGCGAAGCCCTACGACCCTAAACCCCAAACCCAAACCCCAAACCCTAAACCGAACCCGAAGCCCAACGACCCTAAACCCCAAACACAAACCCCAAACCCTAAAGTAAACACGAAGCCCTACGACCCTAAACCCCAAACCCAAACCCCAAACCCTAAAGTAAACACGAAGCCCTACCTCAACCGATAAACCTCGAGGATCCTCAACCCTAAACCCTCAACCCTAAACTGAACCCTAAACGCTAAACCCTGAATCCGAAGCATCAACCCTGAACCCTCGACCAAAAACTCAAAAAACCTGAACCCTCAACCCTCAACCCTCAACCCTAAACTAAAACCCAAAGCCTACGACCCTAAACCGTAAACCCTAAACCCTGAACCTTAAACCCTAAACCCCAAACACAAACCCCAAACCCTAAACCCTCAACCCTAAACCCTCAACCCCAAACCCGAAGCCCTAAACGATAAGATTTCGAGGATCCCTTTCCGACGCTCGTGCCGGAGCCTCGGCAGTCGGAGCCCGAAGAGGCTGCGGCGACGCAGGCCGGAGCCGATCTTGCTGGGCTTTATAAGGTTTGTGGGGTTTAGGGTTTTAGGGTTCCCTAAACCCTAAACCCTAAACCCTAAACCCTAAACCCCGAAAAGGGACCCTAATTTGGTTTAGGGTTGAGGAGGTTGAGGGCTTAAGGGTTCTAGGGTTGAGGAGTTAGGTTGAGGGGGTTGTTTAGGGGGGTTTTCAGTATTTAGGGAGCCTGGGCTAACTCCAAAACAGAAACGGATCAGGGAGAAGTTCGCAACTTGCGTCGTACTTTTTTTTAAAGGGTTCAGGGTTTGGGGTGTAGGGTTGTGCTAAGATTAAAGGTGTGTTTGATCTGCTTATTCCCTTACAATAGAATCCTTATGTGTTCTTGACTCTTCATATCAAGTTAGTATCTGTTGTTTTTGTTGTGCTCGTGATTTTGTGGTTTGAAAGTTTGGTCGGGGTGATTGTGAAGATCTTTGGTGCTTCTTGGGGTTTGACCGGGTCCTTCTTTAAAGCCAGGGCTTGCTAGAGGGTTTGTATTGTAGGGTTGTTCTTTTTGAAACGCGTCCCCGAGATTCTTCTGCATGAGGGTTGCTTTACCTGAGGTTTAAGGACGGTTAGCATGGGTGAATGCGACTCTTGTTTCAGTTGATAGAGGCTTTATCGGACTGAGGCTTGCATACCCCAAAGCCCAAAACCCTAAACCCCTAAACCCAAAGCCTAAACCCTTAAACTTCTCAACCCTAAACCCCTAAACCCTAAACCCCAAGCCCTAAATCCTAAACCCTAAACCCTCAGGTTTAAACGCTAAGCCCTAAACCCTAAAACATAAACCGTGGCATTTTCCGCTTGGGGTTTCGCGGGCAACTGGCTGGTTGCCAGCCGAATGAGCACCGAAGCCTTAAAAGTCCTTTGAAGTTCCCAGAGAGCCCAATACCCCTTGATTAAGGAATATGGCTTCAATCACATAGGGCTTCATATTATGATTTGGGCTATATTCCTTTTTTTAAGGGGTATTGGGCTCTCTGGCTGGGTTGCGGCTCAGATAATGCGGGCACTAGACAGATTCTATCAGGGCCGTACAGGGTTAGATATGGCTTTATAGTGTTGTAGCGGGTTTTATAGACCAGGCTTGGGGCGAATTCCCCCCCGCGGAAGCTAAACCCTTAGAGCCAAAGCCACTGCCCTGGACCCCTAAACTGAACGACAATGTCCATGCTACGAGTGCAGCGCGTGGCACCCGAAGTAGTTCGAAGTTTCCGGATGCCCTCTTCTCTTGTGTGGCAAGGTCGTGTACGAGTCGTCTGCCGGCATGAGAAGTGTCCAGACGGTTCTTGCCATCCGCACCCTAAACCCTAAACCCTAAACCCTAAACTCAAGGCCACCTTCGATGGTGGGCGGCGCTTAAGCCCCTCGACATCGATGGCGCAGGTCGATCCAAGACGCTCGCCCACCGTCCCACAGCCCAGCGGTACTGTCGCACCCACGTTAGGCCCGGTACCGGGACACGTTCTCCGCGGGACCAGTACTGGTCCCTATTGAAGTCATTTCCCTGGACCTGCTGCTTGAGATGCTGGAGGGGCACTGCGCACCCCCCAAAAGGGGACCCCCCCCCTGAGATGTAACCTGGACGTGTATCCCCTCGCTAGGCGTACAGGAACACAGGCACTCAGGTGTCTCTTTTGCTACAGGCGCACAGCTGTAGTCCACTGCACTAGAACCTTGAGCAACAGGCATGGATACATGCAAGTGATACGTGAAACAGACAGGCACCTGGATGTGTAACATTCAGTGTTTCAACCAGGCACAAATTTAAAACACGTAGAGCTGCATGGCCGTGGAGTCGGCAATCTACAAGCCTGTTATTGCTCTTGGTCGAATTAGCGGAGTATTGAGCTACATCTGCGACTTGAAGAGAATCTATACATCTCTAGCCTGAAGACAGCTTCAATGAAAAGAGCAGAACACGCACGAAACGCAAACGGATCTTCAACTGAAAACTTTTGCTTGAAAGTTGCCCACTTGTGTTTCAGTTCCCTCTCCAGGCGGAAAGCATACTGTAACATAAAGGTGTAAAGCTTAGCTTTACTTGATGCCAGCATGACATCTTGCGGCAAGGCAAATATATAAGGGCATTAGAAGTATCTTATCCTGAGATAAGTATCTTCCTTTGAGAAAGAGTTCTTTAGGAAGTACCTTTTCCTGAGAAAAGCATCTCCCTATGAAATGGCGAATGCTCAAAGTGGATACCTTCTTATGAAAGAAGCATTCCGTGAAACACACAGCCAGTTCAGTCGACGAACTCTAGGTCTGCATCCCAGGTTCTATCACGCCAATGATCCTCACCATGCCAACGGTAGATGTCGACAGTGTGAATCGGCATCACCGGCTGATGACGAACAGGGTCGTAACCGCGGGGATCAGCAGGGGATCTAGGTAGCGATATCTGTGGATCTGGAGCAACGTCTCCAACTTGTTCCAAAGGAACTTCTTCAGAACCATTGTCCATATCCACGTCCGAAGAATCGGAACCTAGTCAGTTCTTCCCCTTGTTCTTGCCCTTGGACTTGTCCTTGGATTTGCCTTTGGACTTGCCCTTGTCGGCGTCCTTCCCTTTTCCTTTGGAGGACTTGCCTCCTTTGCCGCCTTCTTTGCCACCAGGAGGTTGTGCGGGTTCTGGAGGACGTTGAGAACCAGAAGCTTTAGCACCAGAAGCTGCCTCTTCCTGAGAAGAGCTTGCTCCCTGTGGTGCGGCTGCAGGACCAGTAGAACCAGAACCACGCGCCTTGTTCAGCTTCTGTCTCTCTTTTCTTCTGTCCGCGGCTTCCTTCATGGTGTCGGGATTGCGGTTGAGCGCTCTCATCCTGCCTCCAGAGTACTGGTTCGCGTGAACCTCGATGAGGAGCGGAGTGTGAGCGTCATAGTCCCGATCGTTGAGAAGGTACGCGGCGCTGGTGGAGTTTAACAGCCACTCAGAGACATGGATGTCGAACTCAGTCTTTGAAGACGGAAACTCCGCCCATTGATCGTCCGACATGCTGTGTCCCCATTCCATGACTGTAGCCATAACAGGATCCAAACCAGGAAAGGTATTCCAGTCTGGTTGCTTAGCTTCCTTGTATGGCATTCCCAGCGTGTCCTCATACTGTTTCAGAAGCCACATGGCGTTTGCTGACACATGTCTCGCACGAGGCGAACAGAGGTGTGGGCACTTTGGGCTTTCTGACCATGCCTCCAAGAAGTAGTCGAGAAGGCTTTGGTACATCCCGCCACGAATATCCATCGACTCCTGCTTTCTGCCGGTGGCCCGGTAGAGGGCCATGTTGGCGTCGCCACCGATGAGGTCGACTTGGTAGTGCAGGCAGTCGATGAACATGTTGCCCAACACTTCATGAGCCAACGCCACCTTGTCTGCCGCCGCGTCGTTGTGGAGGTGGAAGACACAAACTCTCAGCCGGTCGGATCCAGCTCGCTCCAAGACCTTGGTCAGTGACTCATCTGGAACATCACCACGACTGCCCTGGAGACCGGTCGGTAACGTCATGCCATACACGATTTCCGCGACCATATAGGTTATTGGAAGGGACTCGTGGGCATATCCACTGAGAGTGGAGCCGGCAAGACGTGTGATCGAAGATCCGACACCATTTGTACGACTTCCCACCATCAGGTCCTTGGACTCGTTACGAAGGAATTGCCAACCGCGTGACTTGAGGAAGGCCTCTTCGGAGTCATCGATCTGAGCCGCTTCGCAGAGCATGAACAAATGCGTCTTCGACTGTGCAATCGATTTTATCAAGGCTCCTTTAGATGGTGTAGCATCGTCCCAGTCAATGTGATCAGCAACGGAGCGAGGAGCGGTACGCTTTCTTCCCCTGCTCATGTTGCCGAGATTGAGGATGAGCGCGGCATACTTGGTCTTGCTGGTGAAGATAGGGACATTGGAGTCCTCTGCCAGACCAAAACGATGAATATAAGGATTCGGCGTCTTCTCAAGAGAGAGGTCCCCGATCTCCTCTTCATCGACTCCGGCGCTCAAGAAGTAGTGAATCATAGCATTCAAAAGTTCTTCTCGAGTTGCCGGATTGCCGCTTGCATCCAGGGACTTCAGCTTATCAAGAAGTGCTTCCATGACTTCCAGTGCTGATTCTCGGATGTCAGAGGCCTTGCCCATGAGCTTGTCGTCCAAGGTGCTACGAACGTCCCCAGAACGAAAAGCAACGTTCTTCTTGTCGGGACGACGCTCATAGATGGGATCCATCTTGTTGAGTTGGTCGAATAGATCCACCATAGAGAGAGAGTATTTCTGTCCCTTGTGGTTTGGAACATTTACCCTCCAACTCATATGCTGCACCTTGTAGGCGAGAACGGGCTCGTAATCAGGATCACGAAGTCCTGTATGATACAAGCCTGAATAGCCATATCCATGCAGCTGCTTGCAGAGCATCCGCATAGGGCTTTGTCGTTCGATTTCGGTGAGCTGCGTAAGGAAATGTTTGAACTCTTCGAGATCGACGAGCTCGATCTTTTCCTTTGCTTTGCCCATCTTGTCGAACGCGTTCTCATTCTGGTCCTCTGCATCCTTCGCGGCCTGGTAGTACTCAGGATCCGGAACGGTCTTGCATTTCCCCCAGATGCCTTGATCGTGAAGTTCACTTTCATCATCCTTCTCGGGAGAAATGTCTGGCATGGATTCCTCACCCTGTGGTGAGCCTTCCTCAGCCATTTCGACGTTCTCGGACTTACCTCCTTCCTGACCCATGTGCGCATCAGGTTCGACCTTCACCTCGGATGCCTCTCCCTGTGGAGAGCTTTCCGTGGCTTCGGTCTTCTGTTGTGGAACATCCACCCCAGATGCCTCCCCATGTGGAGAGCTTTCCGGAGCGTCCGTCTCCATTGGCTCGACAGTAACCCCAGATGCCTCTCCCTGTGGAGAGCTTTCTGGAGCTTCAGTCTCCATTGGCACATCGGTCGGCTCGGTCTTAACCGGATCAACCTTCTTGCCCTGTGGCAAGTCCGTGGATCCAGACGACGGTTCGGAGGTATCCATCTGAGTAGCCGCGGGAGGCTCCTCGATCTCCTCGATCTGTGGACATGGGAGTCGCTCGATGAACTCCTCGATCATAATGTCGTCGTATGGTCGAGTGAGGAGCTCATTCAGCTCAGACTCCTTCTTCGCCTTCAAGTCTTCGTACGCCACTAAATCAGCTTTTGCCTTGCGGGCGAAAGCCGACTTGAAATCGCGCTGGTCAGACTCCGTGAAGACTTTCTCCAGAACCGCCAGGAGGTAGCTGCCGTTGAACGGCTGCTTCAGGGTACTGTCATAGAGACAATAGCCCTCAGGGGTTCGCACCGTGTATTTACGGCGAACCTCCAGATCACCGGCGTGGCGCTGGATGTAGGAGAAGAAGTCCACTCCATAGGCCTCATTGATGACGCGGACGAGCATCTGGAAATCCTCTCGCACATAGCCAACCTCTTCATACACATACCTTTCCCTGAGGAAAGCCTTGTGTGCGGCGAGCTTGCGAGAGTAGTCGGGATCCTCTGTCCTTGGCATCTTGCACGAGAGTCATTGTCCCGAGGGCGATCGAATCCAATGTT